GGGGCATGTCTTTCCCTCACCCGAGAAATTAAAAGGGAAAAAGTATTGTAAGTGGCATAATAGCATGTCACATGCCACTGATGCTTGTGTGGTGTTCTGTAATGTCTTGCAGGATGCCATTGAAAAGGGACGTATCAAGTTCCATGAAGCAAAGAAGGATGCCATGTTGGTGGACACTGATCCGTTCCCCAAGGTGTTGGGCATCAACATGGTCAACCCAGACTTCTCCAAAGTCGAGTTACCATGTTTCAATATGGTGTTGGATACAACACCGCCTCGAAGGAGACCCAACATGGTTTTCGACCAAGGAAGCTCGTCATGTACCAAGCAGGCCAGCCTGGCCGCAATGATGACTGATGAAGTTGAGAAGTTGTGTGCTCATTGCAAGAAGAGTTTTAAGGTTGACGAAGAGAAGTCGAGATGTCCATCTGGGGGACAAGTGGTTTCCAAGAAGCCACATCAACCCAAAGCCTCACATGTTTGTGATAAATATGATAATATGGCTAAGTCTGGACAAGAAAGCATGTCACCAATCACAAACAGTGGACATGGGGGCAAGTCCAACTAGGAAAGACGTGGAAAAGGCAGAAAGAATTGTCACAATCTCGCAAATTTGGCTAAGTCTGGACAAGGAAGCTACACGATTGGTTGTCAACTTGTCAAGCCTAGACCTGGTCCCCAACATCGTGAGGAGATTAAGCATTTATCAAGTGGGAGGAAATCAAGGCAAAATAATAATCATGATAGCCTTGACATGTCAAGTAAGGTGGCCCAAGCAAAGAAGCATGAGGCCTCATGCAAGGCCACCAAAACTAGACAGGCTCACTATGTACCACCCATTAGTAAGCTTGAAAGTTCAAAGTTAATGTATGAAGATTCATCTCCCATGGAGGAAAAGAGTCATGTGGTCTATGGATGGCATGTCTGGTTTGATCCATGGACTTGACATGGGGTGTACACCTTTGGTACATTGATTGGTGCCAAAGGCTATGGAGAGCAGTGACATTTGTCACTTCTTGCCATATAAAATAAATAAATTTATATAATGTACTTATTATATATTAGTTATAAAAAAAAATATTGTAGCCAATCATGGCTAAAAGAAAAGATAGAAGGAAAATATCAAAGTGAAAATCTTGAGTCGGAGTTGTTAGACTTTGACATGAAGATCTTGCCACCAAGTTATTGTGATGGTTTGACATGACGAGCCATACATCAGGCCATGCCATGCCATGTTATCTTGTCCCGAGTAGCCACGGCCTGGGGGGCATGATGGCTTGAAAGTGGTAGTAGAGGAGTGGTGACCATAATGTCTCTACCAACATAAAAATGAACATTATTTTTCTAAGGCAAAAAAGTAGACGGCTTGACTTGTCGCGAGGGAACTGTCTAGCCTTGTGACAAGGTGGGATGAGCCAATCTATGCCAAAATAGGTGGGAAAAATTCTAAGTTATTCTCTCAACCATGTGGCCAAGTACGAGATGTCAATGAGGGTGTAGGTAATAAAGTGAAGTTGGTGTCTTGTTGAATGCATTAGGTGGCTTGACCATTAACAGCCAAAATTTGGCTAAGGCATGAAACAAGCCTTGACGGCGAGTTCCATCCGGCCATGTTGGCTTGATAATTAAAAGCCAAAAATTTGGCTAAGGCATGAGACAAGTTTTGACGTCGAGTTCCATCCTACAGTGTTGGCTTGACGTGAAAGCCAAATTTTGGCTAAGGACGAACTAGGTGTGTTGAGTAGACACTAGCCAGCTTGTTACTTTCGCTAGCATGGTGGTGTTCAACTACTTAGTCCATAATTCTTATGCACTAAGTAGTTGGGGGGCATTTGTTTACACTACAAAAATAATCGTGTACCACATTGATTATTATTAACTGTCTTTATAAGGCCAGGTCAACAATAACAATTAATGTTATTTAAACTGGGCCTACGATACTAGATTTTTAAACCCAAGTGATTAGGCCTGACATGATGTGTGAGAATAAACTAAGTCTGGTGCCTCATCGCGACAAGCCTCCTCGCGTCAAGTTGGTAGACCCCCTTGTCGCGACAAACCTCCTTGTTTAAACACATCGCGAGTCTACAAGATATGTGGGGAGAAGGTCACAAAATAAACTAAGTTCAAGCGCCAAGCCTCCTCGCGTCAGGCCACTTCGCGAGTCCGCCAAGCCTCTACTAAGTCTAAGCGCCAAGCCTCCTCGCGTAGAGTTTGGTAGACCGCCTCGTCGCGACAAGTCTCCTCGCGCCAAGTTTGGTAAACCACCTCGTAGCATTGTCATCATGTTTGACAAACCGCCTCGTCGCGAGATCTGGAATAGCCATGGTAAAGGAAAGGGCAAGTAACTAGACGTCAGTTCCAAAAGGGAGAGCCGACGGTTTGATTGAGAAACTGTCAATTACTCCATGTTCAAGGACACGTCAGCCACGTCCGAGGAAGAAGGGGAGCAGTTCTTTTTGGAAGTTACTCTCAGACAGTTTTTCTACGACGGTTACCACTTCAAGGCTATAAATAGGAGGAGGAGTTGACAGAGAAGAGGGTCGTCAAATTCACACCAGACAACACAATGTCTAATTTTATCCCTTTATCCTTTCCTCTGCAATTTTAGCCGTAGTCGTAGATCTGGAGCTCTCACTGAACCTCCATAGGAGTAGGGTAATTTAATTTAGATTCTGTCTCGTGAGTCGTGTAAACATCGAACACCCTCGTTCGAACTGTGTTTGAAGAGGTGTGAACCGTGTCTTAGTGATCGTTGTCCAAAGAAATCAAGGTGCAATCAATTTATTTTAACGCAAGTTTTCTCGCATGAGAACACCTCTAATACGTGACTTCCTGATCGATCGATGGTCGTTTGCGTCCTCCGCAACCTTGTCGTTGCTATCAGAGCTCCAAGAACGGATCGGAGCTGTGGGATTTGGCAGTGGCTCGCGGCGGGAGAGGTCATGCGATCCTTCGTTCTGGTTAGCCGGTCGCTTCTCCCGGTGGTGGTGTCTTGGCCCAAGGGATGAGGAGGTTCGACGATGGTGGCTGTGTCTTGTGCGGAGGAAAAGAATGGGGTTTTATTTTGCGGCTCCCTCCTACTAGGTTTTGTGTAGCTATATATTTATAGTTGGAGGGTTAAGAAGCTTGTGGGGTGAGCGGCTGCTCCCCTTTTAATTTAGGTTAGGGTCAACAATTATATTCGTTTAGGTTTAATAACTGATAAGGGTAATTTAGGATTTCCCTAAAATTATGGGTACGGGTGTGACAGTTACTTTTGTTCAACGGAAAAAAATACAGTTACTTTTTGTTTATTTTTTTATGAATTGCTTGGTATATATTTCATAAAAAAATAAAGTACTATAGCAAGTAGCAATAACCGGATGGGTGCTGTGCTGGAAGAAGTCTTACATTATTTTGTTAGTATCCCTGGGTTTAGTGTGCGATTTATAGATCGGAGTAGTAATAGGGTAGCCCATATGGTGGCTAGGAAAGCCCTCTCTTTGTACCCGACTATGAGTCGTTCTTTTGATTTTCGGACCTAGCTTGGATCCAGAGTGTAACTATCTATATTTTGGTATCAATATATGAGTATCTTTTGTCAAAACAAAAAAAAAAAAGTAGCAACAACCCTGTCGCTGAGTAAAATTTACAACATTTGTTTACTAAAAGTAACAACTATAAATCACGAAGAAACTATTTGGTACTACCATAGGCAGTAGCTAAGCCAAGAATAAAAGAGCTCTAGGAAGACCAAAACTCAGAAACGACCTGCAGGAAACGAAATTCTCTTCACGATGGACTTTTTTCAACAGGGGACCACAAGCTTCTTCTTTGTTTATCTTCGGTGGGTCGGTCGATGGATTCAGGCCTCAAGACGATGTAGAATCGTTGGACATCGTCAGGGTTGTGAGTGCTCCGGGGAAGGGATCTTCCTGCCGAGGAAGGAGTGGGAGGAGGATGCCCGCCGGTGGCTCTTGGAGAGGCCAGTTGACCTCACCGGCTGTGACCACCTACGAGGCGACGGGTTGTGTGATTGTTGTCGACTTGCTGGTTATTTGAGGTGGAAAATTTAAAATTTAAAATTTCATTTATTTTTATTATTTCTTAATTGACAATTCACACATTTAACGGTCAACTTTTACAGTTGACCGACACGTAAGCAAAAGTTAACGGAGTTGGACGGATAGTGACCAAACTTGAAGTATTTAACTAAGTTAAGTGACCACGTATGAAATTAAATACTTTTAGTGACCAAACACGAATGTTTTTTAGTAATCTCAGTAACCAACCTTGCAATTAACCCATTAACTAATGGAATGTTTCCCAGTACTATATACTAGTGTACTTCTTAGTAGAGGAAAAGTTCTCTTGACTAGTAACTCATTTTTCTGTAGTGTTAAAATCCATACATGAACATCTCCCAACAATTAGGATTAGTTAGTTTATGAGGGTATATAGCCAGTTTAATCCAAGATGAATGCAAAAGGTTAATCGTCCGTATCTATTAATGGCCAAAATTAAACATTCATATTTCTATCTTAGGGATAAAATAATACGTGATAAAGCCTTGAACGTACTATTATAGCAAGCTATGTACGTGTAGGAATTATATATATGCCAACTCATAGTTTGATACATATAATAATTGGTTATTAATTAAAAATGTGACTATGTAGATATCTGGTAGGTAGTAGTAATCGCTTAACTAGTAATATTGTAAACATCACCACACAATTTTTTTTTTAACACCACGTGTGCATATATGTTTATCGTGTATATTAAAAAAAAAACGTTGGGATTCCAATATCTTCCAAGGCAGAAACAAACTAAATACAAGCAAAAAAGTAATTAAAAGTATAAAAAAAAACGCTCATTTCAAAGATGGTAATGGATTTGGTATATGATCAGGATGACTATGGAATCGAATTGATATTGTTATAAAATCAGCCTTCCCTCCCTGGCTGCATCCGATGATAATATAATCATTAGAATTGAAGGAGGGTAGGGGCCGGGAAATGGCAAGGACAAGCAGAGGTCGGCAGAAAGTTGAGATGGTGAAGATGGTGAAAGATAGCAATCGGCAGGTGACATTCTCCAAGCGAAGGTCGGGTCTGTTCAAGAAGGCGAGCGAGCTGTGCACGCTGTGCGGCGTTGAGATCGCCATCATCGTGTTCTCGCCTGGCCACAAAGTCTTCTCCTTCGGCCATCCCAGCATTCAGGCACTGCTCGACCGCTTCCTTGCTCGAAACCCTACCAAACTAGCCACCTCCTCTTCGTCTTCCTCCATGAGCCCTTTCGAACAGCTCTACGAGGCACATCGCAATGCTCAAGTTCGTGAACTCAACGCCCAGCTCACCCAGGTATACACATATATATAACTCCTAAAAATACTAGACATATTTGTAAAATGTAAAAAATTTAGGTATCAAAATATAATATAAAAAAAATTAAGTACTAAAATGTAATTTTTCTTCGATATTTTTACGACATAAATGCAAAAAAAGGTACTAAATCTAAATATCTATTAAGTTTAGGTACTCATACTAAATTGGAATTTGCAAACGGGTATGGGTAGAAACCCTAGTGCATGGATTAAAAATCCAACCCAATCCAAATAAATGGGTATGAGTACAAACTAGGGTTGAAAGCTTGACCCGGAATACCCACTGACAGTGACACGTCCCGTCCCCAAGGGTCGGGAGGGGTCAGATTAGGGACGAGCCATTTGTTGATCATGTAAGGGGTCGGGACGGGTCGAGACAATTTAGGGACGGGTCACTTTTTGACCCTGTGATCCTTAGCAACAACAAATATCTCACACCACATTGGACATTTTTATAAAGTTCTAAAAGTTTAGGTACTAACGTGTAAAAGTAAAAAAATTTGGGTACCAAAACGTAATTTTACCATCAAAATTTATGGACTTATTTGTAACAAAAATAAATTTTAGGTACTAAATTGTAAGAAAAAATAATTTTGAGCACTAAAACGTAATTTATAAAAAAGTAGTGTGTGATTATGGTTGACCCACTGACCCGTCCGTCCTGACCCGTCCCAACCCTTGAGGGTCAGACAGGATCAAGAAGGAGACAGAGACGAGACGGATCAGTTATATATTTTAACCCTTCAGGGACGGGTCAGACAGGGTTAGGGACGAGTCAGGAACATGACAGACAAATTTTCAGCCCTAATACAAACCTACTCAAAGTCTAGTCATTTATCATCTATTTGAATTTCATATCAACTCAATTGGATTGTATCATTAGATAGTATAATATTCATGCATATAAACAAAATTGTCGATCCCTAATTAAACAGCATATAAGAGAGATTGTATTAATCCATGCACACTCTATTGGGATGGAACTAGGTGCTACAAGAAGTGGAGATAGAGAAGAAGCACGGGGAGGAGCTAAACCGAATAAGGAAGATAAGCCAAAGCCATTGTTGGTGGGAAGCACCAGTGAGGGAGCTTGGGCTGGATCAGCTCCAGCACCTCAAGGCAGCATTGCAAGAATTCAGCAAAAACATTTCAAGGCAAAAGCTTTTCCTCCAAACCTGCTCCGCTCCTACTCCTACTCCTCCACTGCAGTTTTTTGGCCCAGCTAACCCCGCCATGGCCACACTGCCGACTGCAGATAATCATCTTCAATATGACATCAAGAACATTAATCCTACTACTACTACCACCAACAGTAATAACAATCTTCATCTTCATCATGGATATGGGTCAGGATTCTACTAAGGGCCGTTTTTTGTTTTCTCTTCATATTTCAACTTCTGGAGGTGTTAGTGTCTTTTTTTTTTTTTTCACACTCTCATGTATGCTTTCCAGCGTATTGCAAATTATATATGATACAAATGTCAATATGTGGAATAAAAATTTAAGAAACGGGAATAAACTATGCATTCTCTGTTGTAGAGCCAATTTTGACTCTGCTTAATCTTTTCCTTGTGTATATAGCTTGCAAACTCTTTAGGGTTATTCCGAAAACTATCCATATTTCAAAGTGGTGTGGACTGTGGAATTTTTTTTATCATTTCCAATTTCATGCCTTCCAGTGGTGGAGCCACCCTAAGTTAAGTCTTCTCAACTCGCAAAATCTTTTAAAACGACATGTAAATTTTGAGGTTACATTTGAGAAATATAGTAATTGTTAAGGATTTAGTCCCCGCCAGTTTGCATTCTCTGAGCGTAGATTTTTAGCCCCTGTTTAGAATTCTGGTTCTGCCACTAATGTCGTCTAAAAAGAAGTGGCAACGACATTATTAACGTCCATAGAGCACAAAAAATTGGATTGGCATACCCACTTCACAAAATGATACAAAACACCAATTGACACTTCTCCATATTGCCTCATCTACGGGAAAGCATGTCATCTTCCGATGGAAATGGAGCATGGGGCATATTGGGCAATTAAACTTCTCAACTTCAATGAAAAATTTGGGGGTGAGGAACAGAAGCTACAATTAATGGAACTCAAAGAGTGGAGGCTTTAGGCTTATGAAAATACTAAGATTTACAAGGAGAAAACAAAGAGGTTTCATGATTCCCGACTACGCGACCACAAGGAGTTCAAGGAAGGCGATAAGGTTGTACTTTATAACTATTAGCTCAGATTGTTCCCAGGGAAACTTAAATCCAGGTGGTACGAACCTTTTGTGGTCACTAAAGTGTACCCATATGGAGTCGTTCAAATTGCCAATGTCGAAAGAGGAGAATTCTAGGTTAATGGCCATAGGCTCAAACTTTATCTTGGGGGTCTGTCACATCGTGCCGAAGAGATTCTCCTTTTATCCAATCCTTGACCTCTACAGTACTTTTGTCTAGATTAAGACGTTAAAGAAGCATGTTGGTATTGTTTATATTCGTAATTCTCTTTTGTCGTTGACATTACGATAACTCTTAACTGTTTTATGCACTTTCATTTTCACTATGTCTTATAATCGTCTTCCTCTCTTTTTTACGTGCTTTATCTTTGTGAAAACCACCAGGAAGACAAAGATCTACACTTGTGTACATTCACCAACGCACAACCCAACCTATGCTAACCTTCATGATCTTCTCTTTTGAATCTCGCACATTGAGGACAATGTGTTGCTCAAGTGTGGGGGACGTGTGTAAATACTTGTATGATTATCATGATTTATTGATCTATGAATCACTAGTATCCTCCCTTGATTATGAATGTAAGACATTGATGATTGCTTATGGGAGTGTATGCTAGCGATTGTGCATGTTTGTGGTTTTGAATGACTTATTGATTGTGTTTTGGAACCTAAAATGCAATACCCCAATTTTTTCAAATTTGAGGGTTCCAAAACACCATGTTTTTTGCAATTTCTTACTTAGTATGCTTTGAATTGATAGATGATTGATGTGTTGTGCTCGCTAGGGAGTAGTTGCATGATTAGAGTACCGATGTATGAGAGGTTTTACTCTCTTCCTCCTCTTTGGTGAGTTGATAATGTTTGCTATTTTAGGAAAAACATGTGTGCTGGATTATCCATCATTTTTACCTCAAAACTTTTACAAATTTGTGCTCCATTTTGAAAAAAAAAACTTTTGAAAAAGAGGTTCTCACGTGAGAGGCAACCGAGCATAGTGTTTGAGTAAAGCCGTCAAAGGGTTTTTCTCTTGGCTTGGAGTGCCATTCTAGGATATGTTTGGGGTTCGGATAACTTTATTACGTCCCCACAATCTTTCGCTACTTACCATCCCCCAAACACCTCTCTTCCTCACGAAATCGTATGACAAGGTACAAAATACCTTTTAGCGATTCAAGAGACCTCAACTCTCATTTTTACCCAACATGTGGCAACCTAGTGCGGAGTGAAGGTTGGAAAGTGGTGCTCGGGCTAAGATGAATCAACTCCATCAACTTCCCCACATGTGATCTTGATAGGAAAGGCAATGATCCATCTGCTCTTGGTCATGAGGGAGAGATGCTTTTTTGCAAAGAGTTTGCAAAAGTTTGGTGCAATGCCCGTCAACGTTGAAAAAGGAGACCAATGAAAGACAACTCCTAAATTGAAAGAAAAAATAAAGAGCACCCTCAAGAGTTCTTGTGCTTAATTGTTGTTAAGAAGTCCCCTGGTGCACACCTTGAATGTTCATCCCAAGGTAGTAGGTATGGTCATCACCAAGGAGTTTGTGCTTTCATAGTAAGATGATAGTAACGTTTACTCATCTCTGTCTACTCTTCTTTATGCAATGAAGAACTAGAGTGCACCCCGTTGATTTGTCTATCTAGTTGCATTGGTTTGAGTAGGTTTGCTTGGGGACAAGCAAACGCCTAAGTGTGGGTGAGTTTGATAACACCTAAATTGGTGTTATTTACCCTTCATATTTAGGTTTGTTTTGTGCTCATTCATGTACATAATCAGATGAATATCATCAATTACATCCCTATTTCGTTCCTATTTGATTATGTCGTGATTTTAGGGTGCTTTAGACGATATGTATGAATTAGGAACGAAAAAGGGTACAAGTGTAGCAAAATGGCCAGGAAGCTGATGATCACGGCTTGAAGGGAAAGATCTTGCCCAAGAAAGCAGACCGCGAAACAAAGGTGAAGATTGCGGTCGCGGAGACAAGGTATGGCAAAAAGCCTTGCATTAGGTACTTCCATAATTCTAGTAGATGCATATCAGAAGGTAGGGCTGGCTATTTGGTCCGGGTTTTTTGGTTTTACCCAAAACCGGACCGAGACCGGATAGTAAACAATCCAATCCAATCTTTGGGATTAGATTTGAGGTAAAAACCGTTCGGGACCGGATCAAAAACTGGATAAAGACCGGATAAGAGAGCTCAACACCCAAAACTTAAGGGTAATTTGCATAAACGGTCACAAACCTTTGCACTTAGTACAAAACTTAACCAACTCCTCACCCTTTCCGGCCTTAGGCCACATGGATTTGGTCAGGTCTATGGGAAGCAAGGAAGTGGATGGAAAGAGGCATCATCAAGGTCATTGGTTGTGGGAGAGAGCCCAGCTTCCTCCATGATCCTTGGCTGTTTGTTCGATCGGGTCCCATGAGACAGCACAACAATGCCGAGTCCTCTACTGTCGCGGACTTCATTGATCCCATTTCCCGGGAGTGGAGGTTTGATGTCCTTTAGGAGTTCCTTAGCCAGTCGGAAATCCAAGATGTAGCTAGGACACCTGTTGGCCCCATCTCCATGAAGGATTACTGGGCATGGCGTTTCGACGAAAAGGGTAATTTCACTGTTAAGTCTGCTTTCCATCAGTTCCACCACCAGTGGCGGAGGGAACGGGGAGAAGAGTTGAATCCTTCTGATACAAGCAAAGAAAGATGGAAATGGCTTTGGGGGCTTCATTTGTCTCCGAAAATGAAGTTCTTTATCTGGCGAGCGTCGAGATGAGCTTTGGCTACTAGACACAACCTTCATGCCCGCCGCTGCTCCCCCTCCTCGATCTGCCCGGTGTGTGACGAGCCGACGGAGACTATCCATCACTGCCTCTTCCGCTGCCCACACGCAGCGAATGGATGGAATCTGCTTTTCCCGGAGCTCGCTACCCCTCCTCCTCTCACTAATGTGTTGGAATGGTTTTTCTCTCTGTCGAGCATCGTCCCTGCCGAGCTTATTCAGAATTGCATCTACCTGTTGTGGCAAACATGGAAGTCGAGGAATGAAAAGGTATTTAAGGAAAAATCCTTGGGGCCTTTCGCTACGGTTTCTCGCGCAATGGAGGAGGCTCGGCGCTGGAGATCCTGCCCCAAGAAAAGAACTACATCATCACACCCTCAGCCTGACTCACCCCCTGAGCCAGCTTTGCCACCGCCAAGTACCCACTCGTTTGAAGTACACTGTGATGGATCGTTTCTTCACGATTCCCAGGAGGCGCCATATGGTGTCGTTATTACGAACGGCCATGGTCAAGTTGTTGATGGGAAGGCTGAGCCCCTACACTGCTTCTCACCGATAGAGGCGGAAGCGAAAGCTCTTCTTGAATGGGCCTTGGTTGCTGTGAATCTTAATGCCCCATGCCTTGTGCGCTCGGACTGCCTGATCTTGGTGAAGGCTCTCCAAGGGCTGCCGAGGCTCTGGCCATGGCGGGCCGCAGCCTGCCTGGGAAGAATCTTGAATCTTACCAGTGACTTTCCCAACATCAGAATTGAATGGATAAATAGGAAGCGGAACTCCAAGGCAGACTGGGTGGCCAGATCCTGCGCACGGAACCAGTTACCCTCGGAATAGATAAATATTCTTGATGTTGTTTCACCCCTTCTGTAAGCTTTGGCTTTCGCCTTTATGAATGAAAAGTATTGTGCCCAAGGTTGTCAACCCGGATTAACCCGGACCCGGCCAAAAAAACGGGCCATACCAACCCATTTTCATGTCAGCCCGGAAATAGTCAAACCCAGAGAAACCCGGTCAAACCCGGGTTGGCCTGGCCGGTTAGCCCGTTGGAGCGGGTCAGCGGGTTGCTCTTTTCCATTATTTGCGACCCGAGCCTCTCCATTACCTTTAGTTCCCTAAGTCATAGTCATTTGGTAAGGGTTTGGGACTTGGTTCCAATAAATGGAACGAAAGATATATGTGATGTTTTGTGAATGATTTAAGTGTTGTTGAATTTTTACTATGTTGAATTTAAGTTGATGTTATTTAAGTGTGTTGGAGTTGAAGTAGTGTTGCATTTTTTTTATGTTGGATTCAGGATAAGTATAATATAATTACATTTTCCATATTTCCGGGCTAAACCGGGCTAAAACGGGTGACTCATTGACCCATGACCCACTAGCTTATCCGGGTCCGGGTCGACCCGCGGTTTGACAACCTTGATTGTGCCCTTGTAAAAAAAAAAAAACTACCTATGGAGTATGGAGCTCCTGGCGGATTGGATACTGGGAACGCTCTAACGCAATCTTTATACCCTTTCCTTAAACCCTTTCTTCTCTAAAAAAAAAAAAAACCTTTTAAACCCTTTCAATTCCTCTCCCTTCTCAGCCCTATCTTCTTCCAGAAGTGCTGGGATATCGTTGGGGAGTCTTTATCTAGCCTGGTTCAGGCGTGTTGGGCTGACAAGGGACAAGTTGAGGGTATCAACTCTACTATCCTGGTCCTCATTCCTAAAGTTCAAAACCCGGTCTACGTTGAGCAATTCTGACCCATCAGCCTCTGTAATGTGGCCTATAAAACCCTGACGAAGTGTTTAGCAGAGCGCCTCAAGCCGTTGATGCCCTCTCTTGTTCATGAAACTCAAACGAGCTTCGTCCCTGGAAGACATATTACAGATAATATCTGCATTCTTCAGGAGGTGGTTCATTCGATGCGAGCTAAAAAGGGTCGTACTGGCTGGATGGTAATTAAAGTGGATTTAGCTAAGGCGTACGATCGAATCCGATGGGGCTTTGTGAAGGACACACTCCAAGCCATAGGTGCCCCCTCGGACTTCGTGGACCTGGTCATGGCATGCATCACCTCGGCCTCGATGCAGGTTCAGTGGAACGGGGGATTGTCGGATCCTTTCAGACCTTCTCGCGGTCTTCGCCAGGGCTGCCCTTTATCGCCCTATATTTTCACTCTCTGCATGGAAAGGTTGGGGCATATTATTATGGATTCGGTGCGGCAGGGGCAGTGGAAACCAGTTAAATTTGCTAGTAATGGTCCTGCATTGTCCCATATCTTCTTCGCGGACGACCTCATCTTGTTCGGAGAAGCTTCGTTACACCAGGCAGAGGTTATTAATCATTGTTTCGATACTTTTAGTGCCTCTTCGGGTCAGCAAGTGAGCAAGCCGAAATCGAGAATTTTCTACTCTAAGAATGTGTCATCTCAGCTGAAGTCCCAGATTTCCTCGGCTATGGAAATTCAAGAAACGGCCAATCTGGGACGGTACCTTGGGGTCCCGGTCATCCACGACCGAGTATCAAAGTCGACCTACATCGACTTGATCAATCGTATAGACTCTCGTCTCGCAGGTTGGAAGGCAGCCACGATGTCCCTTGCTGCTCGAATAACTTTAGCTCAGTCGGTGCTGTCGTCCCTCCCGGCCTACCATGCAAACGGCCCTACTCCCGGCTAGTGTCCATGATTATATCGACAAGAAAATCCGGGGATTTGTTTGGGGGAGCACGGAGGGCAATAGGAAAATACATCTAGTGGATTGGGACACCATTTGTGCTCCTAAGGAGGAAGGAGGGCTTGGACTCCGTGATTCGAGACGCACCAACGATGCTTACATGTTGAAAATAGCATGGCAGATGCTTACTAAACCCGAGGAGCTTTGGGTACGCCTCATCAAAGCCAAATATTTCAAGCTCCGAGGGGGTGAGTATGTGCTCCGATCGCAGGGACGTCTCTCAAATCTTTGGCGAGGGGTGCTGCGGGTGTGGAGCTTGATCGAAGTTGGGTCGGCTTGGAATGTTAGAAACGACCGAACAGTGAGGTTCTGGAGCGACCGATGGCTCAATGACGGTGAACCTTTACTGTCGTATGCAGCAGAGATCCCCCAGGAGGCCTTGCATCTCCCCGTCACGGACTTTGTCCTAAATGGTGAGTGGAATGTTGACTACTTACGTGCCTACTTACCCCATTCTATTGTGATGCAGGTCTTACTCCATCCCATTCCCGAGGAGCAAGAAGCCGACGTGCGGACCTGGCGCTTCACCGCCGACGGGAGATTCTCTGTCAGCTCCGCGTATAAGCTGCTGGTCCAGAGCCAAGACACCCCGGCGACTCACCCGATATGGCGTACTATTTGGCGAGCTCCAGCATTGCAGCGCACAAGAACATTCTTATGGCTGGTCTCACACGATCGCTTGCTTACAAACTCGGAGAGAAGACGACGTCATCTCACAGAAGACAGCTCATGCAAACTTTGTGACGGCGGACCGGAGACTACCATGCATATTTTGAGAGAATGCCTTATGGCTAGAGCTACGTGGGCGGAGCTTTTGGATACCGAACCCGACGAAACTTTCTTTGGCCAACCGTTGAGGAAATGGTTGTTTCACTATCTTGCAGGAAGAAGCACTATCGTGGACAGCACCCTTTTTGCTTGTACTTGTTGGCTTCTGTGGAAAAACCGGAATAACCACGTGTTCCAAGGTGAGTTACAGTCCCCTGCTCAAATCCAGTTCATCACAAAGCAGCTCAGGCAGCAAATTCTTGTTGCCCTCGAGAAGGAGAACGAGATATTCGGAGGAGGGGGACCTCCGACCAGCCGATTAATCCACTGGCAGCCACCGCCACCGGACTGGATATGCATCAACACTGACGGCTCGGTCACTCACTCTCCTTTAAGCACGGCAGCAGGCGGCATCGTTCGGCGAAGGGGGGGGGGGGGGGGCGATGGCCGTTTCATCAGAGCTTTTACTGCGAACTTGGGAGGGGGTTCGATCACCCGTGCGGAGCTGACTGGTATTGGGCAGGGACTGAAACTTGCTTGGGAACTCGGGGCTAGGAAGGTGATTCTCCAGACAGACTCTCTTATAGCAAAGACTCTCATAGATAATGCTTCTGAGCACCATCCTCACTTCGTAGCAGTTGCGGAAATCCGGCGTTGGCTGGTAAAGCCTTGGCAGGTTCGTATCGAGCATGTGTATAGGGAGGGGAATTTTGTTGCGGATTACTTAGCCTCCATCGGTCATTCCTATCCTATAGGGGTCCATATTTTGGATGCCCCTTCGAGTACTTTAGCCTATTGGTTGTATTTTGATACTATTGGGGTGGAAACTCCCCGTCTTATTAATGAATAAAGGTTGGGGCGCCCTTTAAGCCTGACACAAAAAAATTCCTCTCCCTTCCAATCCAGTCTCCCCAGCCAGCTTCCCGCTCTGCCGCCGGCGTGCTGCTCTAGCAGCCATCAGCCATGTCCCTTCTTCTCCGATCTCTCCCTCAGATCACCCTCCGCTCTAGACAGTCTCTCCCTCTCCTTCACTCCGTTTTCAAGTCTCAATTCCCAAACCCACTCCTTAAAACCGGACGATACGTTTCTTCTGTTTCTGCCTCCGCTTCTCCCACTCCCACCTCAGCAGAAACGCTACCAAAGCCTCAAATTCCGTTTGGGGCCCTTGATTCGGTTTCTCGTGCTGGCCTCTGCGGAGATTTGTCGATAGACGACGTGGGTAAGCGTGTTCGTCTCTGTGGGCGGGTTGCTTTGCACAGGGTTCATGCAAACCTCACTTTTCTTAATCTCTGTGACCACACTGGCGTTGTTCAGGTAGGCTAACGCTTTGTGCAGCTCCGCAGTCGTTTCTGTCTCCCATCTGTTTGTTTGCCTTCTTCCCCGGGAGGAAAAAGTTTGCCTCTCTTTTAGCATTCTAGTGCTTTTTAGCCTTTTTCTTTAAGTTCACTGATTTGGTAATTGGATGGTTGGCGGAGGCGAAACCCTAGGTGACGACGCGTCGTGGTGATTTCCCAGATGCCCATTCCGTCGTAAATGAACTGAAGGTGGAGTGCGTAGTTGCTGTGGAAGGTGTTATCCGGTATAGGCCTAGTGAATCGGTGAATACGAAAATGAAAACTGGCTTGATCGAGGTAAACGCTACTTGCTTCTCGTTTTTTGTTATCTGCCGGGCGTTGAAAACAAAATTAACAGGGTCCCCATGTTCTTACTCCTCTAGCCGTATTGGTGTGCAGGTGGCTGCAGAACATGTTCAAGTCCTGAATGCTGTTAGAACCAAGTTGCCTTTCTTAGTTACCACCGGAGATGATTCTAAAGATTCAGTGAAGGAAGAGATTCGATTGAGGTGGCTGATTCAACATGACCTCAATCCACTTACTGTGTTATAGATCTCGGCGGCTCTTTGTAATTTCTGATGGTTGAGTTCTTCTGAACTTGGCATTATGTTCCCTGAAAATAAATTTTATACCTGCATTGCTTTCGTGATGTGATAATCGCATCCTTGAAGAATTTCTCGACAGCTATCGCATGGGTAGATGGGGTGGATATTTTCCATAGCTGTCAACATCATTAGGCCCTTGAAGGTGTTTTTTCTTTTCTTCCTGAGAAGAAATGTTGTGTAGAATGTATCCTTATGTTTAGTAGTATAACAGATAGATTATTGTTCAGGTGTGCTGCAGTTGTGGTCAATAGTTATGTCCTCAGAAGGTATGCAGCATCCTTATGCTGACAATACCTGCCATTTCCCCCAACATTGCCAGGAAACGATAAAGTTCTTCCCTAATCGTATAACTCTTTCATCCATGGGAATTTTTTTACTTGTCTTGGCCCTTCAGAAGTATTGTGTCACTTTGGTACCGATTTGCTTCCATAAGCTGTATTGCTGAAACTTATCTAAATTGCATAAGCAGGTATAGATGCCTTGACCTACGGAGGCAACAAATGAGTACCAACATAATGCTCCGGCACAGGGTGGTGAAAGTCATTCGGAGGTTTCTGGAAGACTTGCATGGATTCGTTGAGGTAAACAGGGAAACTTGGGTGCATTAACTTAATTATATATATATATAGTTCTTTTAATCTGATCCTGATTCGCATTTACAAGTTAGATTGAGACTCCAGTACTATCGAGATCTACTCCAGAAGGTGCTCGTGACTATTTGGTGCCATCAGGGGTTCAGGTATTGCCTCTTGTTTTGTCCATGGCAGTGTTTAGTGCTGCATTTAGTTTAGTAGAGAACTTTGTGAATTGAACTACATTTGTTTCGCAACTAGTGGATAATTTTCAACCTTTACTGTCTGTGCCTCCAGACAATATATTTCTCTCACGTGATTCATCTATTGGTTACTGGATGTGATTCTCTAACCTGGTTGACCTATTGGTTACCGGGAATTTGGAGTTCTTTCTCTGCTTGGCTTAAAGCCTTCATTCTGTGTTTGAAGTCAGGAATATTCTACGCTTTGCCACAAAGCCCACAACTTTTTAAGCAGATGATGGTCTCTGGTTTTGACAAATATTATCAAATGGCAAGGTAATGTCTCTACTTGGCTGGGTGGAATCGAGGTTACATGATAGTAATAGCTAACTGCAACCGTTAGACATGGTGCATCAATCATTTCATTGTAAAGATAGGTGAAAGTTAGCCATTTTTATTTTAGCAGTGAGGACAACAACTCCTCTTTGACCAGTGTTTATGCATGATGCCACTTCTATTTCATTGCAGATGCTTTAGAGATGAAGACTTAAGGGCAGATAGGCAGCCTGAGTTCACGCAGCTGGATTTGGAACTGGCTTTCACTCCATTGGAGGAGATGTTAAGACTCAATGAAGATCTGATTCGGAAGGTTTGATTTCACTAATGCTCTATGAAAAAACTTGTGCTTGATTCTTCAGATTGCCCAAAATGTACTGTTGAAGTCAAAAGTTGCTTGATGTCTGTCCATGGATGTTTCAATTTGTTTTTTGTGAGAAAAGAATCCAATGAATCTAGTTGTACGACATATCTTAAAATAAGTTTGTTGTGACAGGTAGCTTATTGCCAGTCTGAAACTTGCTCCAATTGACAATAGGACTCTCATTCGTGTTTATATCAACTTGAGTGAAATGGCTGGTTATTGGTTGTTAGGGGTACATATGTGGTGGTTCCCCACTCCTGCTTTTCATGAGGTTACTGGTCAGTCATGCTTTTGTCTATGCAGGACCATCTAGACACTAATACTGTAGATATTAGTGGGTCTCGTCAAGATGGCTATTTGAACTTTCTGGTTTTAGCTCTTGACTTGTTGACACAATATCAATTAGTTTCAATGACGAGCTTTCAATTGCATTTTCAGAACCTTGATATGCCAATGAAAGTTGGATCTACTTGTATATATTTAGTGGATGAGTAACAATGATATTTCCTTGGCAGGTTTTTCTGGAGATTAAAGGTGTTCAACTGCCTAATCCGTTCCCCAGGCTTACATATGTGGAAGCTATGAGTCGATACGGCTCTGATAGACCTGACACAAGATTTGAGCTCGAATTGAAAGATGTAATTGTCTGGTTAAACACTTCATTTTGCATTTTAAGCTCATAAGTTGTAGAATGAAAATGCAACACTAGAGCACATTGGTCCCTAGACAGTAATATGGCTAAGGATCTGATAGGAAGGCACAAGGGTTAATGACAGGGATATTTCCTCTCTATGTCCATAATGTAAATCTTTATAGGATTCAGTTATCTGCATACTGGTTCCATATATGTTTAATTGCTCTGGTGACTACTTTTACTTCTATGATTCTTTGTACTTGTTTTTGCTGAGTAGGGCATCTGAGCTAGTTAAGTTCATGCGCCATCATAAGCATTCTGAAGCTAATGGTTGTTGAAAATCTGGTTAATTTTGAGGTTAAGTTATCTAGAGTGTCACTGAGTTATTTTAAGCTTTGATGAACTTCAATTGGTACAAGAGGAATGCATGCATTTGATTTAAGTTTATGGTTCTGCATGCACATTATAAAATCGTTGCGGATAATATTTACTCTTCTATGTATAATTTGGATAATTTAACTGGTTTTCAGGTGTCAGATATATTTGTAGAGACCCCTTTTAGGGTTTTTGCAGATAACTTGAAGAGTGGGGGAATTGTGAAAGTATTATGTGTTCCTTCAGGTGCTAAAATTTACTCGAAATCAGCTCTGAAGAAAGGTGATATTTACAATGAGGCAATCAAATCTGGAGCAAATGGGTTGCTTTTCCTCAAGGTCTCGGATAGTGGTGAGGGTAATTTCTATTTTGTTTGCTTCTTTCCGTTATTACATAAAAAAGTTACTGGCTGCAGTACTTACCAGAAATCTTTAATATTTATTTGTAGCTGAATTGGAGGGACTACCTGCTTTAGTATCTGGTTTGGACCCATCAAGAAAAGAGCAGCTGCTGAAAAGATGCTCTGCAGGACCAGGGGATCTTTTATTGTTTGTAGTTGGTCATCATGCATCGGTCAATAGAAGCCTAGACCATCTTAGACAATTTCTTGGCAATCAACTGGGCCTAATTGACCATGTATGTTTGGGATTTTACACATTGCAAAATCAGTATGATCATCTTACTTTGTCTTTTTCTGTTGCTGATGATGTTTCCTGATTCTAATATTTAGTCCAGGCATTCAATTCTTTGGATAACTGATTTCCCGATGTTTGAATGGAATGATACGGAGGAAAGACTCGAGGTATGGACTCTATAAAACTATTTATCATGACCTCCCTGTAGTTCTCCTGAGATGAGGAATCTTGAAATTTACTGTTATGCTTTGGAAATGATCATTGTGAGTTCAAGTAGGAAACAGAAGGAACAATGAAATGCAATCTTGCTAATTTATGCTTGTATCTGCTGCTTCTGTTGGTCCAAAAAAGTCACAATCAAGTTTAACAAACCTTTGTGTCGCCTAAATGAAATGGGATAGTCCTTTTTTACCTCCTCAATTTGATAGCAAGTATCTGGCCAATCATCTACCCCCTAATAAAAGTTGTATGCATTGGCAGCCGTTGCACCACCCATTTACAGCTCCTAACCCTGAGGATATGAATGATCTAGCTTCTGCACGTGCCCTTGCTTATGACATGGTTTACAATGGCATTGAGGTAATTCAACTTTTTCTATACTTAGCTGCAAGCTTGAAACACTGGTTTCGTCTGAATTTATGGTAATTACATTCTGCAATTGAACTCTTAGATCGGTGGAGGAAGTTTGAGAATCCATAAACGTGAGATACAACAGAAGGTGTTGGAGATCATTGGCATATCCCATGAAGAGGTTAGAAACCACAAACCCATTTTTAATACATTCTCATGGACAAAATCAGAGAAGCACCAAGAGAGATGGAAATTCCCAGATTATTGCTGGAGAAAGAACAGCAGATGTCAGTTTTCACAAACTGTATGTTGCTTTGTCTGCAGGCCGAATCAAAGTTTGGCTATCTCCTGGAAGCTCTAGACAGGGGTGCCCCTCCACATGGTATGTGATTCTCCACTCTCTTTCTAGGGTTCCTATTGTGCTATTACTTGTAAGAGCTCTGATAGCCAAGAAAGAGACTTTTTTGTGTCGAATGGTGGCAGGCGGCATTGCTTATGGGTTGGATAGATTGCTTATGTTGCTGGCTGGTGCGAGCTCCATAAGGGATGTGATAGCTTTCCCCAAGACAACAACAGCTCAGTGTGCCCTTACACGAGCACCATCCCAAGTGGATCCTCAGCAGCTCAAAGATCTCTCCCTCCTCGTTGCTCAACATTAACCTCAGCTGAACCATGTGTTCTTTCTTTTGCGCCTGTTTAGAGAGCGACCCAGAATTCTAGCTCGTCCTGCCTCCAGCATAATCTGTGTACGATTTTTTTATTTGGGTCGTATGTATTTAGTACAATTTGGCAGTAGGCATAGCGAGTCGAGGGTAAGGAGGAAGTGTTTGATTTGGTTACAGTTTTAAATTGGACAAATATGTAAATTATCTTATAATTCTAGGACGACATTTAGCATTTCAGTTATTGAATGTGTATTATTATCAACCTCCTTACTGGAGCGGAGCGATAAGCCGGAAAAGAAATAAGCAAGGCAACCCAACAGCAATCTGGATACAATGTATACTTTGGCAGACAAACATTGCCAATCATTTGGCCATGGGCTGTTGTTAGGCACAAACTAAGTAGGAAAGAAAAAGAGTTCAGTCAAACTTGTAGTGCTTGTCTACGGCTACAGAAACATCCCAAGTGCAGCTCATTCCATTAGGGAACTCAACCAAGTCACCAGCAGCGATCTCAACGCCTTCATCCGATCCTTGAGGGTAAACCTTCACCTTTCCCTCCAGAAGGTAGCATGTCTCCTTGGCCGAATATGTCCATGGAAACTTGCTTGGAGGGCAACCCCACCTACATAAATTAAGAGCACGACAAGAGAAGTCCTGTGTTGGTCAATCCCAACTACTAACGGAAACAAATGTGAATCGTCAGGATGAGATGAGGTGAAAGGAAGCTTGCCCACAGCTAAGATGAGTTGAGTTCACATTTCGACATCGTCTTGCTAGCAGAATCAATCAGGGGATTCATGAGCATTCTAAGGTTTACAACAGAAGTAATACATTGTCCAACCTACCTGCAGTCTGTAACACTGCATTTCTCATTTGTATCCTCCTGACTTCCATATATACACTTCGTGACGTGATTAGTAACTCATGAACAGATTGTTAAGAACTAGTTAGTCCCAATAACTTGAATTATTGAGAGAGATGCAATAATCGATCTTATACCACGTACTAACACAGCAGGTGATTAGTCAACCAATTTCGTTGAAGTACTAACTTCCATCAGGCAGCTAGATCTACCTTTCTCATATTGTGAATCTAGATAATGAAAGATCGATCCTTACGGCTATGGAGCTGAAAGGCAGTGACAATTGCCCAACTTAAACCACTGCTAGAAGTTTGCTTATATTGACTCCAGGAGAAATCAAAGACACAGGCAAACCCTGATTTGACAACAGTGAATGTGAGCTACAACATGGTTGCGCGACACTGGAAAAGATTCCCAGTAGACGCTGCTTCTCCTCCTCCTCCTCATCATCATCAATGAACAAGAGAAGGATTCGAAGGCCTACCATCTATTCCAATTATGTCGCGGCAGCACTTGTGTGCTGAAGTCTAGGGTTTGCGGGTTAAATCAAGTAAAAGAAAGGATGTATTGCTTCCTTGACTTCATCAAAGGATTCTACTTCACTAATTCGATCGGAGTAGAAACACAATATATGCATATGCTTACTTGGGCCAAGAGCGGACGCCGAGGTCGGTGAGTTTGGATTCTGGAGGGTTTCTGACGATTTTGATTCCTGATTTCTCAGTTATCGTAGTGGCCGTCCCCTTACCCTCCGCCATAACAGTAATCCGCCGCGGCAGCAGCTGCCCAGACTCGGAGCTTCTCAGTCTTTTTGCGGGGAGCAGAAAAGCAGCAGCAGCAGTAGCTCGAGGAGGAAGATCGAGAGAGGTCGAAGATAAATTTATGGGCTTTGTGGGAATAAATAGTTTACGTTGATTATTATTGTTATCATAGGCTGATGATAAAACTAATCTCCCACTCCATCCACCTGCCATCGCCATTTCTTCCGGTCTTCCTCCTTTTTCTTTCTCTTCGTTTTTGTTTTATGCCTGCGTCTTATATAAGATTTTTTTTATACCAAATACAAATTGTGATAGATAAATTATTCATCCCAAAATTATTTGGACCACCCGACCCTCATCAAGTAAATCTGAGGCAGCCGGTTATAAATAGGGGATTTCCTACGGAAACTTAAAGTAAAGTAACTTGAATTTTTTTACCTGCGATAGCAGGTTTCACAGGTCGCATTACGTAAAATACAATAGACATTACGTAATGGTTACGTAACATATGGTAATCTTACGTAACAGTTGTAAAAGATCATTACGGAAGCCTTACGTAATAGAATGTGTTTTTACGTAATGAGTATTAACCTCGCGTTACGTAAAATGTTAAGTCATTACGGAAGTCTTACGTAATCCTACTGATTTAACTGTTACGTAAGTAATAACTTTCGTTACGTAACCTTTACGTAATAGAAGGTCTTTTTACGTAATGAGTATTAACCTCGTGTTACGTAAAGTGTTAAGTCATTACGGAAGCCTTACGTAACACTTCCTATTTAATTGTTACGTAAGAAATAACTATCCTTTCGTAACCTTTACGTAATGAATGTGTATTTTTCGTAACAGTTGTAAAATGTCATTACGGAAGCCTTACGTAATGGAAGGTCTCTTTACGTCATGATTGTTAATGTCGTGTTACGTAAAGAGCTAAGTCATTACGAAAGCTTTACGTAACGCTTCTGATTTCACTGTTACGTAAGAAATAACTATCATTCCGTACCCTTTACGTAATAGAAGGTCTCTTTATGTAATGAGTATTAACCTCACGTTACGTAAAGTGCTAAGTTATTACGGAAGTTTTACGTAACGCTTCTAATTAAATAATAATTAAAATAAGGAAAGGGTAAAAAAAGGAAAGCAAATAAATTTGAAAAAGGAAAGGAAAAAACAAAAAATGGTAACTTACGTGGGTGGTGACCGGCCACCTCTTGTTGCCAATGATTTTTTAGTTATTTTTTTATTTTTTATTTCTTTAATCAATGGTTCAAAATAATTTTGATAGATTTTAACGGTTTAGATCTATGTAAGTTACCTAACTTGAAATTATACCCAAGTTACTGTAGGAGGTCCCTATAAATAGTCTCTTTTTTATTAAACTTCATGCAACACTCTAATTCGGCCCAACGCTACTTTTGTTGGGTTTTTTAATGGTTTGAATGATAAGAAAATGGGAAGGAACCGAAAGTAGGAATGAAAATGAGACGAGTTTGTCTAAATCATCGTCATCCCTATTTTCAAATATCCAAATTTATATTCATTCTATATACTCATGTGGAGGAAGGTTTTGCAAACCCATCCTGATACTGTGGGTTTCGGGTACCCATCGATAATACCCGCTCCGTATATCCAACATTATAAAATCTAAAATTTTATATGTAAAATTTCAATTATAATACTAAATGCACCTACTATATCATGAAGTTGACAAAGAGACAATCATTCTTAACACGGTTCAAAGCATCTTATCCTAAAACATTCATTAATCCATACAAATAGAATACAATTATGCAATCCAAATCATTATTCTCTTAATACAATACATCTACTAAGTAATAACTAACAAACATAACCTTGTTAACATTGGGGAAACTGAAAGAGTGAAGGGACAGTCGAGGAAATGGAATTAGGTTTTGATTTGGGTGGCCATCCAATTACATTTCTACTAAATATTTTCTCGAGTTACCTAACTATTATTGATAGGATACAATTTAATCAATGTTTTTATATGTGAAGAAATACTCCTGATGGGGCGAGTATGGGTATGGGGCGAGGGAAGCTAAAACCATACCCAACCCATACCTATCAAACGTTTTGCGAGTTTTACCAATACACGCTCCATATCCGATCAAAGCGGGGATTCCCCTCGTTGACTAGGTCGGGAGCGGTTGGATACCCGTGGTTATGGGTTTGACTGTCATCCCTTGCCAAGAGAAGCTTTTGAAATGCCATATTGATTATATATGGGAAGAAGGCCTTGGATTCAGACAATTGATTTGATTAAATCTTTTAATAATTGGTCAAATTAGTTTGTGTAGCCAACCGAACCAAACCGATTTGAACCGGACTGATATGGTGGTTGGAGTGAACCAACCGGTCCAACTACCATGTGCTGAATCGATGCAATGGTTCATTATTTTAAAGTGAACTAATGTGTTGGTTGGGGTGTAACCACCCACCCGAAGGGTCACATCCTTTCACACACACCCCTTCATTTTTTATAAATAACACCAACCCCCTCCGCTTTCAGAAGCAAGCCATGGTCTGGAGCTGGTCTTCACGGTCGAATGACCGTGACCTAGTTTATGCCCGCAAGATAGACAAAACCCTTCTAGACACCTCGCTCTTCATGGTCTATGCCTCCTCTTCACGGTCTGGATGACCGTGAACATCTGGCCTCCATTGTGATTTGGTGTTGTTGCTCCCTAATGACCAGTTTCCGCCCCTTTTCGTCCAACTTTCTTTCCATGGGTTGATTTCACCTACTAGGATCTGAAACATACTAAAAACAACCACAACCTAGCGTAAAACAGAATCTCACAAAGTAAAACTACCTCAAAAGGATAATGGGGTAAAAAGTGTACAAATAGACTCGAATCACCCTCCCACACTTAGACGTTTGCTTGTCCCCAAGCAAACCAATTCCATTCAAGGTGAAAGCTCAACCTAACAAGATAACTCGGGACATATCAAAGGGCTCAAGGTGGGTGAATCTCAATGGCTAATGGGCATCAACACATGAATCGCTACAAGCAATACCGACATCCACCACAAACGACATTCGAATGCATTAAGAATGTGCAAACGAAAAGTTCTCACCTTGTTCACCAATCAATACAAGTCTTGACAAGTCTACTCACCAACCGCAACTAAAGATGCATAGAGTTCAAGTCCAAGAACAAACGAATGGGTGATATAGGTCCTCACCAGGATAGATATGAACATGCAAAATAAGAGTGAATCACTCACTCTCGACCAGTGTGGTCAAGACCATTTGGTGCAAAAGATGTGCACAATCAACACTCAAACCTATCGTCTCTTCCCCGCAGCGGAACCTGTAAATGCTAGAGTTCATGAAATTGTTGTCATCACTAGCTTGTCCAAAGGTCTTAGACACGAGTTTGAATGACTGGCAATGTTCTTGGACATGGTGAAAATGCCTTTTGGGTGGTGGCAAGCAAAGCATGAGTTCTACATCTTCACCCTAAAACCAAAGGTTCCATGGTTTCCACTAGAACCTACCCTTCAATCAACGACCACCAGCAACGGCAAAAAACCACACTTCCCTTCTTCCAAACCATCACCAACCACGAACTACATTCAAGCACACTTCCTCGACTAATCTTGCTATCCAAATTTCAATCATAGTAGTGACGGAGGTCAACAAGCAATTAGGTGTTTCAATGGCTTGAGTGCCAAGAAACCCTTTCTAGAGCCCGTGAACTGGTTTATGCCCGCGAGATGGACAAAACCCTTTTGGTCTCCTCGCTCTTCATGGTCTATGCCTCATCTTCACGGTCTGGATGACCGTGAACATCTGGCTTCCACCGTGATCTGCTGTTGTTCAGGGACGGAGCCAGGATTTTATGGTAGGAGGGGCCAACGAAATTTTTTTGCGACACAAATATTACATTCAAATTATATGCAAGATTTTTATACAAAAAATGCATATAATTATGTGCAATCTAAACATCATTATATATACATATATCTTGGTTGAAGTATTTTATCATGTAACATATTATTTATTACAGTTTGTAATTGAAACTTCGAGTATATCATAACCGTAAGAACAAAATAAAAATACGATAAAATTTCACTTAGATTATACAAAAAAGCACATAATTATGTGAAATCTAAACATCATTATATATACATATATCTCGTTTGAACTATTTTATCATGTAACATATTATTTTTACTGAAACTTTGAGTATATCATAACAGTAAGAACAAAATAAAAATTTCACTTATAAAATACTTAAAATTCATCTTAAAATGGACATTTCAAAGCTTCAAATTGCATGAAATTCCCCCTAAAATGAAAGTACATCGAACCCAGACCCTTTCATTGTAAGAGTAAAGAATCACTCCACTCCTCTTCAACTAGTAGGTTAGTTAAGAATTTTGAGTTTAGTTGGCCACGTCTATATTAATATGAATCCAAAATTTTAGGGGGCATGGCCCCTCCTTCCCCTAGGCTGGCTCCGTCCCTGCTGTTGTTGCTCCATTTTGATCGGTTTCCGCTCCTTTTCGTCCAACTTTCATTCCATGGGTTGATTTCACCTGCTAGGATCTGGAAATACTAAAAACAATCACAATCTAGCGTAAAACAGAATCTCACTATGTAAAAATATCTCAAACATCTAAGAATAAATGAGGTAAAAAGTGTACAAATAGACCGAAATAGTAAAAAGACCCTAGCCTCGTTCTCGTATAAGAATAGTGAATTTTTACTAGCCATACAAAAATAAATAATTTTTTTTCTTCTGGAAACATTGCGTTATATTTCGCCGGGTTTAATTGTTTTCTATTATCATCATGTGGCGGTGGAGTGGCGAGGTGGGAAAATTTCTTGGAAGACAGTTACGTCACTCAAACTTGTAGCCACAAGAACTAGGGAACGGCGCCATCAGCCTCCGCGTACGTTAAGCTTCGGTAGTTATTGCCGCTAAAATACACCCGAATCGGTGACGACGGAAAACTAAATCCTTACTCTTGTCTTTCCCACTTGGAATTGTTTGTTGTTTCTCTTTCATTCTCCCTCTCTCAGAAACCAAATCAGTCGGAGCGAAGCGAACCAAAGCCAGAGAAAGCCGTGCTTCTGGAAAATGATTTGATTTCAAATCCTCTGAAAAAAAAAAGAAAAAAAAAAAATTAGCCACCGAGAGTCCGAGACTGTGAAAATGGCAAATCTCTACGCTCTGAAGTCTACTCTCTGCCCTTCCTCCATTTCCCGCTCCAATTTCCCTCGGACCTCCGCTCCCGCCAAACGGTGCATCTTCAGTAGCTCTTCTTCAGTCCAGAGACGAAAGCTCAGCGTTTGCTGTGCGGTGAAAGACAGCGAGGATCAAAGCAATGGCGAGTTCTCTTTTTCGCTTTTCCAGATTGCTCCATCTGTGTGCTTGGGGGTTTCGCGTTTATTCCGATTGTTTGTTTGTAAAATTTGGGGTTTTTTCTCTCTCTCCGTGTGTGTTTCAGGTGAAGAGCCGCCGGAGTCGTTATTTATGAAGGAGTTAAGGAGGAGAGGCATGACACCGACGTCGCTGCTGGAGGAAAGCAAGAAGGGTGGATATGGAATTGAGGACGATGAAACGAAACTAAGAGAAGGCGACAGAGTCTTCTCCAAGAGGAATGCAGTGTCGACTGAAATCGATAAAGGGCTTTTGAATCAAAGAGAGCGCTCCATGGCCTTGAACAGTGAAGGCCTTGAGGTTAACTTTCAGCCCTCCCTCATATTCTGCTTTCTTATTTGAGCTCCACAGGGAAAACGTGAGCTAATCTGCAAATTGAAGTACCACTTAATTCGTTGCAAGGGGTTCAATTCATTTAGGTGTAGCAACTATGGAGAACCAGTATGCCCATTAGGGAATCTTGTGGTGGTCTTACCCATAGCTTTCATGCTCAACTCCCGCTATATATATTGCTCAAAATATGCTCCTGTGGTTAATTAGACTTTCTTGAGTACGTTTAATGGGTTTCAGTTTACGTCCTTGTGTTCCTGATTCTTATATGTAAACAACGGATATGGAGTTAGCGTTGGCGGATAGTTTGTCCATGTTAGTTATCTTGCTCTCATCCGCCAGGATGTCCTGATAAGTTATCGAGTGTGTTACCTGGGTCTGTTCATTTGAAAGATTCATGTAGCCATTGATGTATTTCTGAGAGTTGTGAAGCTCCAATGCTCTCCTTCAGCTTGCTTGGAGGAGTAGTCTCTTTAGCAACATGGTATAGCGAGTGCGTCCGTTTTCAGGACAAGATTTATACTTGGATGATTAGCCTTGCTTGCACTTGTTTTTTTCTTCTTCTGCGTGTTTACCAGCAGGCAACTAACGCTTTCTTCCCTAACCAGGGACTGATCCCACGAGCTAGACTATTACTTACAATTGGGGGAACATTCTTCTTGGCCTTTGGTCCGTTGATTCTCGTAACTGTTGGTGCTTTCACGGCTCTCTACTTGGTGAGTTACTTGGTGCCATTGTTCTCTCTCACCTCATCTCCTGTGTTTTTAGTTTTATGAAACTGATTTCAGCTTGCACCAAGGGCGTAGCCAGTGTTTTTGACGAAACTGAATTTCCCCCCAAGATATGTTTTTAACACTACGTACGTAGAATCAAATGTATGACACTCCTGCTGGTTTGAAGGAATCTATCTACTAGAAGTCTTGACGATATTCGGTTTATGTTATGAATGCTCATCTTCGTTACTTAGTCGCTTAATAACTGAAAGTTGCGTACTGCGGTGTGACAGTATTTTGGAGCAAGTTTTGTGCATGATGGGAGCGCAACTCCGGTGTCACCTCCGCAATACATCGATCCATATGCGCTGCTGGAAGACCAACGAATTTCTGATGTAGCGCCTACCTTGAAGTGATTAGTTGCTAGACCCACAAACCAGCAGCTGATCGTTGAACAAGAACGAACCACACGTTCAACGGTTCAATCCTATACGGACTAGGAATTATTCCTTTCCTTTTGTAAATACCCACCAACTATTCTGTTATCTAAATTTCTCTCCTTACCTATATATTCATGGCAATCTCCTCATGCTTTTGATTGTTTCTGTATGATATTAAATGATCAACAAGCTAAGACCATCCACAGGTATTTGGCTGACTACAAATGCTACATGTTCAGAATGTAATTTCAAAGGAATTGCATAAATTTAGTTCACACTTGGAAAGTTGTAAACCTGCTTTTGATGAAATTCAAATGCAAGCACCATAAGAAAATAAATATAACAAATTTTATTTATTTATTTATTTATTTTTGTCTATTAGAAAATCACTTGGATCTATCACATAATGCAATTCTAAGTGAATTGCATTGGATAGTACAATGGAGTTAACATAAATTGGATTGCATAAATTATGAGGCAATATCAATATGGAAAACATGCGCAATTAGTTTTGCAATTGCACCGATGTTGATGTTCTAAATACAATAGGTTGAGCATCGACATTTGTCGAACCATGTTGGAAGTACTTTCTAGAAAAGGAAAAAAAAGATAAGGTAACTTGGTAAATTATAAGTGGATTAGCACCATACTAATAATAAGATGTAGTAATTGATTTTGCACTTGTAGTCATTGATATTGCAATTATCGGTACTCTTTGCAGCTGTAAGACTATAACCCCGATGCAATCATATCATAGTTATAGCAATTATTTTCGCAATTGTACGACCACAACTCCAACGTAGTCAATAATCATTTTTATTGTGGTTGTAAAATCTTAATATCTATTAAAGTTACAATTAGGTTACTGTAGCATAAGAGGTATGCTCTAGCGCACCACTGTTTTTTTTGCGTTTCTCACCAGCCTCTCCTGTTGTTCCACGTTTGGTAGTACGTGTCAATACAGAAGATTGCATAATTTTAGATTATCTTCTTCCCTTGGGTAGCTAGCTAGCTCTAGCAGGTCTCTCTAACCTATCTCTTGATTTCCATAGAGCGCTTTATCTTTCCATTTCTGTTTCGTCGATTCCGCCGCTCTACTAAACCTTTCCTTTTTCCCCCTCCGATCAAGAACCCGATGAAATTGAAACCCACGCTTCTCGCCTGCTTTCTGATTGACGCTTCCTCTTTCTTTTCTCTTCTCCGCTGGTAAAATTATTTTGTATTTCTTCCTTTGACGTTGACCAAATTGGGGGAGACCCCAATCAGGGAAAAAAAACTTGAGGCTTGAGGGTGAGCTTTTCTTCCCAAAATTGCGAAAACCAGCGATGGGTAATCACTTCGTCGAAAATTGAAGAGAGCGTCCGATTGAATCCACCAATATGTTCCCTTTCTGCATGTTGTTCTCTGATTTAGATATGCTCATGGAAGATAATGAGGAATAGACTCGCGGGGAGATTCACCTCTCTTATTATTCTTCATCCAATTCCCTTTTTCTTCCATCCCCTGATCCATGGTTGACGTTTTGCTACATGACGACATGTCTGAGATGGGATTATGAGACCATGAGGGGGCAAGATCTTCTTCTGCAAGTCTCCCCTGGTTCTTCCTGTGTTTCTTTTCATCGATCAAATTGGGGTAACCCAACCAGAAAAATAAATTTGAGAAAAGCCAATCAGAAAAGAAGAGTTGCCGGCGATTTTTTCTTGAATTTCATTGCCGAAATCACCAAAATCAGTGAGGAGGAGTTGACAACTTAAATACTTTCCCTATACTACACCTGACTAGAGTTTAAAAATTTGGGCTCTAGCTGGGATTAATTCGCGGTGTAGTCTGAGCGAGTCAAGTTTTTGGCTCCATTATCGGGGACCCATGGTCCATTATTTTGAAAAGTTCGCTTAGTGTTACTCTAGCATTTTCTATCTTGCCTTTTTGTTTTGTGTTTCATTTGTGTTTTGTTTACCACTCTTCGTCTTGAAGGGTGGTTTGTGTGTGTTTGATTTTCCTTTTTAGTGTTTTTTGTTTGAAGGTATTGGATCATGGATCCTTATGATTTCACCCAAGTGTGAGGGTATCCACCACCACCCGAGAGTGGTTACCCCAGAACTTCACAGGATGATCAAAATGGGGGAAGTCAAGGATCCGGGTTATACTACCAACCCCCCTTCCAAGGTGAACAAGCATACCAATGGGGGTACCAAAAAGCTTCCCCGTATCAAGAATATTTCTCTCAACAACTTGAGGAGAAATACAAGTTGGAGTTACAAGTGCTACCAATGCTTTCCACCCGACCTTGGCACACTTCTCGAGAAGAACCCATTTGGGGCTCTTTGCCAAGCCAATGCCAAACCATCGGAGATCCCTCTTGGCGGATCAAGTTCACGAGCCTCAAAGTCGATCAAGTTCTCGAGCTCTTAATCAGCGATTCATGGCCGCGATCACCAATCGTCGAGCGACGATCTCAAGGAGGATACAAACAAGATAAAACAGAAGATCTTGTGTTTTGTTTGACAATCCTTCATATCCGAGGCCGCGAGAAAGTTCGAGCCCCCAACTTCCAATTCGCGGCCATGAACCTAAACCCACATACTCACCTCTAGTGCATACCAAAACGCACACGTTTAAAGATCACAACTCAAGAACATCAGTGTGGGGCCATGAACTTCAGTGCGAGAGTACAAACTTGTATGTGTTCTTGGCTTCCTATAAATACCCGAAGACCTCAACTATCGAAAGAGACCTGCTTTAGAGTGAAAAGGTTTTTAGAGAGAGAAATACCCCAAAATTTCCCCTCTTCTTAGTTTGCATTTCTTCTCTTTCTTTATGACTTAAAGCCCTATGGTTGTATGATAGATGAATCCTAGTATTCAACTAGGGTGTGCGGATTGAATTTTATCTATTTATCATTTGAGTTCAATTAGTGTTTTAATGCTTCTAATTGTGGTTTGGATGTATGAATTTGTATGTTGCATGAATTAGTCCTAAGTTAGTTCTTGTGTGTGCGTGATTAGTGCTCTTGCCTAGGTTAGATGTTCTAGGGTCCTCATTGGTGGACGAGGTGACCATCCCTGCCCATCAGGAGTCCACCTAGTTGGTGCTAGGAAGGTAGGTGCGTGCCCATTGAAATATCGACCTAGTGTGCGGTGGCTGAAACCCATTAAAAGGAGGTAGAGTTATTCCCTAGTCCAAAAGATCTGCCGAGGTGACAATGGGTTTGTGGACTTAGCTAGAAGGGGATCAATGGCTTGACTATTGCAAGGATCCCTATATTAGTGACCTCCTCACCTCGAATGACCATAGGATTCAATCAACTACCTAGTCCACTGCTAGGAGGATTCGAGCTTAGACAACCATCTCATCTCTAGAGACCTCCCAACCACTTGGTTGGTTGTTTAGTTAATTAGGTTAATTTATTGGTTAAACATATATTTCTATTTTAATTATTTAGTAGTTTAGAGGGAAATGACAGTAATCCTAGGTACCCTTGGAATACGATCTCGGTCACAAATATACTATCTCACGAATTTGAGTTATACTTTGCTCTAATCGGAGTGGTTAATGTTTGAAGATCTAGCTTATAAATTGTAAAGCTTCACAAATTTATCTAGCCACAAAATTAATTTCGTAGCTGTCTTCGCTAGAAGTGGTGAGGCTAAAAGGTAGCTACACATTTTCTTACATGCATTGCGTTTAATTTAGATTTTGTAAAGCCTATGGGAACTTCCACCTTGGAGGCACTTCAACCTCCACAGTCGTGTTCTAAACCATAGAGATCATCCCTCACCACCTGAGTAAATGGTTTTTGAGAGGCCCTATGTGATACAATCGTGGTATTACTAGATTAATTTGATCGCAACTACAATCGTGATCACTCCTCTTGTTGTCAAGAGATTAAATGGTGGTAGAAATGTATACTTCTTTTGCTATCGATTTTTATATAGCTCGCTTTAAGATGAGCAACAATTAATGTCGAACTGCTATTGAGATATTTGTAGCTAGAAAAGGGAATTTTTTGTCGAAGGAAAAGGGAGTATTGATTAAGTACAGCAAAATAGAAAATTTGGCTTCGGTAGACGATTGTCGTCATGATGAGGGTTTGGATTTGGATCAATAGAAAATCTTTTAGTGTGGCTATAACTATAAGTGTGTTTATTATGGGGTTTATCGGGCATTGATTACAACATCGAGGATAAATAGTTGATTTCTCTTGGGCTTGCATATTTGGGGCTTTTCCTATCAATGCATCTTATCTGATTTCAGACGATCTTTGAATTCTTAAATTGGGTAGATAGACTTTTAGTTTAATCTTTGCAATCAATCTCTTCATCTCCTTCTTTATATTAGAGATCTACCATGAGTTTGTATTTTTTAAATTCAAATATTTGCTATCAGTCTCTTCATCTCCTTCTTTAGATTAGAGATCTACCACGAGTTTGTATTTTCAAATTCAATTCTCCAATTATTTCTTAATTTATTAAAATGGTTAATAACACTAAATATATCAACCTTTAACAATTTTTCCATTTGTACTACGAAACTTTCTATATGCATTTGTTTTATGACATTTGTGTTCCATTACTTCTTTCGTTATAATTTGACCAAGAGTCGGGTCAATGATGACATGGAATCTAACCTGGCAAAATAAAAAAACAAATAATATTAAATAAACCTAAAATTAATCTGACCCCATCTCGTCTCTCTCATCTTCCCCTTCTCCTCTGGCCGATCTAATTATCACCCAAATTGAAACTTGGCCCCTATTTTCTAAAAGTCCAATTCTTTGCTTCTCCATACATGCCCAAATAACCTCCATATTCCCCAAGCATAAAGACCCTATCACCACCAAAATCCCAAGTTTCATCTCTGCATATCTATTCATGACCAAACCACATATAAAACTGATGGTTGCCGCTTTAATACTACCCCCAGTACTGCAACAATGGATTCAATTGAGGTTCATTTCAGGGGCAACAACTAATTCATTTTTCCGCTTCCGGATGCAAATGGTCTCCTCACTAGTCTCAAAATGCTCCCGTGTCTCCTTCTTCGCCGTCGTCTTTTCAAGGTTTCCACTCAAGCTTCGTCTCTGACTAACTGTAACTACAAATTCTCAGTCGAATGCCAAGTTTAACCAACGGTAGGATGTAGTATAGGGTAAGCAAGTAATAAAATTATCAAACCATGGGTCTCTAAATGTATCTTGCTCTGGCTTAACTAACTAATATCCTAGATAATTACATGTTTAGAGCTCTCTTACCTTAAATCCCACTAGTTCCATTATTTAGACCGGTGTTGCATACCATCCTAGGCCGATTGACTGTATATCCCTACCATTAAGAGATCGACTCTCACGGGATAAATCCAGAATGGAAAAGTGATGGATTGGTAGATGCTCTTTTCAACTTAAGAAAATCCTATATCGCTGTGAGCCTGGGAGATTGTTGGAATTTACTCCCTAGGAGGATTACCCGGATGACATAGAACGAGGAGTGACCCTAATTGCCAAGAATGGGCTAAAATAATATTTTCTCCATCCCAGGTCAAAAGCTCAATTGACATGAAATGGAATCCAATCTCATGCAATCCATCACAAACATCCATCAAATAGATAATATGAACAATCAAACATATGATTTGTCACCTACATCAACATCTAATCAAAATATAGACCCAGGAGGGTTCTTCAACCTAAGAGAAAAGAGATATTTCAAAATAGCTCAAGATCTTCATATTCTTCATTCTCTAGGCTTGATTCTTTGACTCCAAGATCAACCCAAGCCTCTAATTAAGCTCCAAGATCACCCAAGATCATTGTTTCTCTCAAGAAACGCCACTTTGGTGCTTTGGTTCGGAACCCTAAAGGAAAAGCCAAGCTCTCCGTCTTTCTCCAATCTGCTGCCATTTTATATGCCCGACAGTGCAGACTTCACGGTCACAGTTCACGGTTGTGATATCAGCTGAAAACAAACCATTTTGTGCACACTTTATATGTTGGGGTGATTTTCAAGCCCTCAGCCCGTGAAGTATGCACAGCTCGCGAGACACACAAAGGCTGTTGGAATTTGCACAATTCACGGTTTTGGTGTGATTTTCACTCCCTCTGGGTGTGATCCTAACACACAACCAGTGATCCTTGCACAGACTCCACATTTTGGCTCGCTTTGACCTCTGAATGTCCCAAAATTTGTCTTCGACCTTCCCATATGTACTAGGACCCAAAATGTGACAAAAATAGCACAACAGAGCGTAAAATAGGTTGAGGTACGTCGATTATGAATCAGTCACTCACCGTGCATCTTGTTTCGGTTTCTTAAAGCAACTAGGTATTTCTTAAAGCAAAAATCGATTCAATCTGCATTTTCAACTTCTTCGGTAACCGTCTCTTCGGCGTGATTATCAAATCGTGGATCTCTACGGTGAACCGTTGGCTCAAGCCTCATCTATATTTGGGCCTTCGATTCCCTCTCAAACCCCATCGCTTCTTCCCTCATGGTCCTGATGGAGTTTAACGCCTTTTACTTACCCAATACCGTCGCCGATTCATAAGTAACTTTTGCTTTCAATCTCCCTTCGAAACCTAGAAGTCTTGTTTGGAATTTTGATTTCCAAATCTATATTTGCCCCCTTGCCGGATTCCTGGATGCATGTCTGAGAGTCGGGAAGCAAGGAAAGGCAAAGAGTGTGAGAATCGAGGTGAGGAGAGTGGCGGGCAGCGAGGAAGTGTGAGCCGATGTGAGGTGGGACGAGATCGAGAGTTATGACATGGAAGAGGTCAGAGGAGTGGGTAGAGGCGAAGAAGGAAGAGAGGATGGCCATGGAGTCGGATGGGAAGCCTAGGCCGACAAGGCAGAGTTTGATCGAAGTTGTCGCTGGAGGCTTGTGGGTCGATGTGAGATTGGTGGCTTAAGAAGGTGTCGACGCCCAGGACCAGAGCGTCGAAAGAAGAGAATAGAAATAGGAGAAGGAAGAAGACGGTGGGCATTGGCGGAGGAGATAAAAGAATTGGTTCTCCGCCAAAGTGAAAGGATAAATTAAAATTAAGATCTATAAAATTAATTATTTAATTATTAAAAATGTAATCTAAATGTTAAATATTATTTTCCTATGTGGCATCTACGTGTTGCCGCCACTTCATCGATGGTCAGACAATGGTTGACCACCATTAGGTCAATTGTTACCTACAGAAATTCGCGCAATACAAATGACGCAGACCTTTAATCAATTGGAATATTAATGTATTTATTGAAGTTCCGCAACACAAATTGCAAATTCGCTAAAGATTGATATTTTTATTGCTATTAGCCCATATTAAAAGTACCACATTCTTAAATAATATATTATTTTTACTCCAAAATACCACATGCAAAATAACACATCGACAGAAGCCAGATAAATCCAAATATGAGATATGAGACTTCGGTCAAAGGTCTGCCATTTGGATTTTTTACATTTATTTTTCTTTGTTTGTTCTTTCCTTTTTTAGAAACATTTTTATCGGTGAAGAGAAACGTTAGCACAGTGCTCATTCTCTTTCCTCTCCACTTTTTCTCCCACAAAAAAGTATAAAATGAAAATTATGATGCCCACTAACTTGCTTATAGTTTGATTTTCTATTAGCAAACATAGACCAAGATATTGGAAACTAAGTCATCTAACATAATACGGGTTGAGCATCCATAAACACTTATCTCATTTCCCTCCTTTATGCTTCATTTTTCCCTAGCAACTCTAAATGAAAAAAAGGTGACATTCATTCCACAACCCTTGAAAAATCATTTTCCCGTCACGGAGACTTTCCTTGAACATATAAGACTATAAGAGAAGAGCCGTAGTTTTTTTTTTTCCGCTGCAAAAACATACAAGTTGTTTTTCAGATAACATATCAAAAGAGGTAAAAGGGGAATATTGAAGAAAGGATGGTTGTGGAATCGCTGAGTCCAACCAAGAATTTCGAAATAGATACATACGACACTGATGATGATGGAAGACCCCGACGAAAAGGTGACATTTCTTTCACTTCTTTTCCTTGTTTTTGTCAAAAGTTTCATCCGCATTCATATATCGATTGTCTTATTGACTTTATCTCATATTGAAGAAAGGCCGACAAGATTGAGTGTTGAAATATTGTGTCTTTGCTATTAATCAACAATTTCATAATGATTTTATCTATTATTTTCATGATAAATGGTAGGAAACCGATTAATTTCTACTTTAATAGCATTTTGGTTTTCAATTTACCGAAGAATATGTTTATATGCTTAAATGTAAGCATTCATCAACCAATTCTTCAAAGAAAATTCTTCTTTTGATAGTTGTTTAATTAAAAATGGGGCAAAGTAGCACAACCTCATATTGGTACAAATTGATTGAATGTACAGATCTCTAAATTGTCACATCCACTAATAATGAATGCTTTGATCGAAAGGATTAGTAAGATGGGTACAAAAAAATAAAATCGTTGTGTATGTATTGCCAAGTAACCTGCTACTATTAAAAAAAGAAACTGATGGGTCGGGAACGGGAAGTGACCTTCTGGGCCCATGTGAAATCCTGAATTTTGGATCTCGAAATAAGTTTAGATATGTAATGAATCTTCTGAGTTTTGCTCTAGTTATGCAACAAATATCGAAGTTGGTTACGAAAAGCCCTATCGTCATGGTAGGGTATGTTGAATGCATATCTTAGTGGCACGTGCTTGGCCTTTTTATATCATGCTTGTGCATGTTAATATGTTTTTTTCATTATATGATCGATTACTATTTCAAAATTCATATCACTATGTGTATATATAGTTGCCAACATACCATAACGAAACCCAAACGAAACTGGTCATGCATCAAATTGGTCTTTGTTTTTTATGAAGCAGAACCACAAATTAGCAATGAATTCCAGACACCTAAAAGCCTAAGTGTTAGTTTAAAGTTGCTGAGGAAGTGCCAAGATTTGAACTTTTGGGCTATGCACCTAACCACTTGCCCAAGTGTCTCATATCATAAAACCAAGCACGTAAAACGCTGAAGACTAGTATCCGAGATCAGCTCAATTCCCCAAATGGCAAATCATTTTTCAACTAGATGTCCAAGACTTTGAGCATTTCATGTAAAAAGATTACAAGAATACAAAATCTCAAAACAAGCCAGAGATGAAAGAAGAAGAAAAAAAAAACAATAATTTAAAATCAAGCACTCATGGCATCTCAGTCTCTTCAGTCTTCAAGTAAGGAAATAGGCCAAGCTTTTCCAGGCAATCATCAATGCCTTACACAATGGTATGCACAAGAAAAGACACCTGCAAATGATACCAAGATCTAGAAGTAGGCAGCCTTACCTTCTTCAACATGGACAGGATCGAGTCGAAGTTAGTTCCTCTTGCTAAGGAGCGCGTAGCTGCTGCCTTTACATAAAAAAGATATTCCGGTAAGCAAATTGAAACATCAACAACAAATAAAATCAAGAAACATTTCAAGAACTCACATAAGAAGCACTCGTCCAGTGAACAGACCTGAATAACTGGGCCATCAGCAAGAGGATCAGAGTATGGAACACCAAGCTCAATTATGTCAGAACCACACTTATCCAGCACCTTTAAAGCCTCCGCTGTGGTTGAAAGGTCAGGGTCACCAGCAGTTATGTATGGGATGAATGCCACCTTTCAAGGCACAAAAATTCCACGTTAAGGTAAAAATATCCTGACCTTGTTTTTTTTAACAAGATTCTACAGACTCTAAAGCTCAGAAATTCGACCAATAAGAGAAATTATTGAATCAATCGGCAATATCTATACAATACACTGTCAAACCCGGATATAACAAAACTAAAGGGAGAACCCAAAAGAAGAAAACGGGCGAAATAAGAATGCAAATACAGAGAATGGCCCAGAGAGAGAGAGGTAGCAGGGGGAATGCTTACTTTGCCTTGGCTTTTGAGATTGGAGAAAGTTTGGGCTAGGCCAACAGTGGGCGCTGCGGTGAGAGTTGCCATTGGCGACTGACGACGGAGTATCCTGACTGAAACGGAGCCTGGCCTGCGCGAAGGTAAGAAATGGGCATCCGATTTCTTAATCTGATGGAAGCAAGTCCCGGTGGTTGATTTCAGAGCAGCAACAGTAGCAGCCATATTCCGTCCAAGGCAGCGGCACTTTTCTGATGGAGGAAGGGGCTTTTGATTTTGAGAGGAGGTTTTGGACTCGGTGGTGATTTTCTGGTTTTATTTTTTTATTTTGAACACTTTTTTGTTTTGCGTTTTTTACTGTTGTTCAAAACTGGCGGAACCGTTATCCGGCGGTCCGGCCAGCGGTTATATCAGTTCCGGTCGTTTTTCTTTTTGCGGTTTCCCGGGTGTAAGTCCGGAACAGAAAACAAACTGGGCCAAGGCCCAAGTGAATCCGAGCCCATTTAAACAAGTGAAATCGCTGCCATCCGCCATTTTTTTTGTTTTCTTTCTCTCGCCGCAGTTGACCGGCAGGCAGGGTAGAACCAGGTACAGTTGAACTCGGCATCAGCCAAGAAGCCACCACTTGAAAGCTCCTCATCACAGCGGTAAAATGTTGGGAATCTGTTACGGCGAGCTCTTCCTCTTACTTGGAGCCACCGCCCGCTCTGATCGGTACTACTTTTCTTCTTTCAATCGCTTGTAAGCACAAGAATCTGTTGCAGCTGAAATTTTTTGCAAAATTGGAGCATTTAGGGATTTGATTAGCGCCTCAAACTGTCTCTCAGATTTCAGCAGACCAGTTCCGTACTGAGAGTGTATCAGCAATAATGGTCTCCAAGGTTTTTAGCTATCTCAGCAAACTTGTGAGTTTCTTATGCCCTGAATCATGCCTTCAAGGTCTATGATTCTTCAATAGTCTCGGATTCCTCCAATATGCACAGCCAAGCAACTGCTTATGCAAGACTGGCAGAATCTGCGGCTGTTAAAGCTAGTTTATAGACCCAGGACAGAAGATTGATGATCTGGGTTTTCTTCACATTTTGCCTGTTTCGGCTGAAAGAACTGGGACGCTACCTATCCGTCAAGTTAGGGATGCTTACTTGACCTCTATTGTATCATTATTGTATAGGGTAAATGACACATTTGGTCACTGAGATTATTAAATTGTGTCATGTTTAGTCACTAGAAAAAATTAATATCAATTTTGGTCACTCGAATTACCGAAACTGGTCAAATTTAGTCACTCTCCCGTCAGTTTCCGTCCAACTCCATTAATGTAGTTGGACGGAAACTTTTGGGAGCGTGATTAAATGTGACATGTTTCAGTAATACGAGTGACTAAATGTGACATTTTTCAATAATTCGAGTGACCGGAGTTGGACAGAGGCTACAGAAGAGTGACCAAATGTGACCTGTGTCAGTAATTCGAGTGACCAAAATTGATATTAAATTTTTCTAGTGACTAAATATGACACGATTTAGTAATCTCAGTGACCAAATGTGTCATTTACCCTTATTGTATATGTTAAATGCCTTTACTTTATGATGCCTCTCGCCAGTTTCGTAGTGCTTGCACTTTGAATTTCATGGTGCAATTGGACAATGTTGATGATGTTTCTTGAACCAAAATTAAATACTGAAAAGAGAATTGACTGCTAAAGATAAGTATGACTGGGTCTCTGTGAAGAAATGTGCCTATGAATTGTATTTGCAGGTAACAATGAATGGATCAGACATTTTGTTGGAAGCTATAGTCGAGGCTGAGGTGGCTCGCAATGCTAAACATTTCTTCGCCCAACCTGAAAATCAAAGAAAGCGGGATGGCGAGGTAATGTGCTGTTCAGGTTTTCATTTATGTTGCTGAAACTTAAATCACATTCAGGCTGAGAAGTGCAAGAAACTCCAGTGTGATCCCAAAACTCCCTGATCGCATGCTGCGAGCGAGCTTCGAATGTTCAAAGTAACAATGACTAGTTTTGTTAGGTGAACGAGCAAATCGGCCGTTGCTTTAAACTTTAATTATAGTGTGATGCGTGTAGCCAGTGATGTCGTACTGTGTTGACTTTTGTTCTGGTCTAGAATTTGATGATGGCTTTCCACAGTACCTCTTTGAACACACTTTCACGTGGTGGGAATTTAGGTGCTGGAATATTGTTGTTGTCTTGTTGAGGCTGATTCATAAATTATGATACCAAGTCATTATTAAAGCGAACCGATTCCTGATCGGGTTTTGATGATAGAGAAAAGTTAGGTACTTTCGTGTACTTGTATTCAGTTTTCGTTGGAACATTAAGAGCTAGTGGTCGGGTTTATTGTTGGCAGTACAAGTTATCAACATTACTAAACCTTGCTATGTACTTATCATTGATATTTGCAATGTTATTAATTCGAGCCAAATAGGTTGATTGGACCGGTAAAATCGGGAATCAGGCGCTAGTTTGGCTCGGAAGAAGGAAAGAGCCGCTAGCTTCAGACCAGTTGATCGGTGGCGGTCTGAACAATTAACCGCTTGGGAAACTTGAACCACTCGACTAGTTTTCAGCATTTTGCCCATCCTTTTAAAAAAAAAAATTAATAATAAATTTCCATATTGAGTTGATTCAAGGGACTTTGGAACTTTGTACGTGAAACCTCCTGTCATCGATTACATCAGGGATTGTTGGATCGGATGTAAACAGACACCTGCCTATTCATACTCTGCAACTAGTAAGGAGGGCTGGATTGGAGATCGATTGATAAAGATCGGATGGAAGTTGATGATTCGATGATGATTTCGTTGAAGATAGGAGAATTCAACGACTATCATTGAATATTGTTATTTTCGGGCGGTGAATTGATCTGGTAGAAGCAGCACTGACGACGAGGAGATTTTTTTCCGAACCTTCGACCCTAACTTGTTGGTTGAGTTCTATCGCAATGACGAAATTTATTCGACAGACTAAGGTAGAAAGTGTTTAGTCCTTGTTTGAACCTAACTGAGTGTAGGAGTGAGATTCGAGTAAGAGTTAGGGTCAAGAAGAAGTGCAAGCGATGGGTTTGATCGGAAGGTCGGAGACTAGAGAGTTGAGTGAGAACAAGAGAAAGGATTTTAGAGAGATAAGTTGTTATTGTAGAGAGAGAGTGATGAAAAATGCGATCCCCTCACCCACCGGAGTAAATGCCATATTTATAGGCTACATGGTGGTGGGTGAGTGGATGGATTACATGATGGGACCTTGACTCTGATGTGACCACTGACATGTCGGGGATTTAGGCCATCCCCCTACCTAGGACATGTCAGGGGTGTACCTACGACTGTGTCACTGATCCCGACGCGGCTGACCCTCGGGAAGTGTGAGTGGAACTCCCTGTGGCTAAGTGGCTTACAACGCGCCTGAGCTTCTGCGCCTTGATGCTTTCCACTCTCTGCGCCTTGATGCTTTCCACTCTCGCGCGGCTTGTGAGGAGCTCTGGGTCTTCGCGCGCTGGTTCTCTGCGCTGGCGCACGCGCAGTAGCGCGCTCTTAAGCCTGCATGCGCGCCTTAGACCCGCGCGTGCGTCTTCTGTTAGCGTGTCTTGCCTTGCACAGCTAGGTCCGAGTCACATGCCCAACAATTGCCCCCCATCAGAGGGTGTTCTGAGAACGCCCTCTGTTTAGGTCTTCGCTTGATTGACTCGGGCCTGGGCGCGGGTCCGGGGTTTCTCGTTTACGCCTTGCCATTCCGTAGTCGCACGAGAGACTCTGTTGTAGTTGCCTGATAGCGCGCGATCTGCGGGGATTCTGATTCGCTCGAGATGCGTGCGCTCGGTCCTTGTGAGATTCGAATCATCGATGGCGCGGCAATTGATCGAGCGTGATTGTCGCGGCTGCGATTGTTCCTCGCGTGTTCCGTAGCTTGCGCGAGAGGCTCTGTTGTAGTTGCCTGATAGAGCACGAACCTTGGGGTCCGGGATTCTGAATCGTGTGCGCGATCTTTGCGAGATTTTTTTTTCTTTTTCCTCGCGGGTGTGCCATGCCCCCCAGGCGTTGTGCGTAACTAGTTACGTCAGCGGCTAGTACCTACTTCGAATAGGTGTCCACGTGTCCTTGCCTGGTTTGTTCGTTTGGGCGGGCGAATTTTGAAATTCGAAACGTCTGACGGTTGGGATCTTCGAGGTTACTTTAACCCTTCGTCTTTCCTCTAATAACTATAAGTATCGACCCGTTTGGGGAGTGGGATTCATTCTGCCTCATTCTTCACATCTGAGCTCTGCTCTTTCTCTCTCGTGCTCTGGTTTATCGCCGAGATTCCTCTCCTTGATTGGACGGAGATGTGGGGCGACCAGCCGGCTCCGCATGACAACTTATTGCGGGGACCTGACCATTCTTCAATCTACTCGCGCGAGGACGTTGAAGAAATCGTGCGCGGGTTGGGTTTGCCTCCGCACTGGGAGTACGCGGTGCCCTCTGTTAGGAGCACAGTTGGTAATTGCCCCCCAGGGTGGTTCGGGGTATATAGCGAGTATTGGGTGATGGGCTTCAAGTTCCCCATCGACCCGCTGCTGTGCGCTTTATACAGGCGGCTCAACTGCTCGGTCGGGCGCCTCTCTCCTTCTATCATAATGCACGTCTCGTGCTTGCGCCTTGCCTGTAAGCGGCTTAACATCCAGCCCACGTACGGGCTGTTCCGCAAGTTTTATAAGATCAAGGAGCCCAGCAAGACGAGTGATTGTTTGTCCATCAAGCGGCGCGATAACAGGCCTGATGGGTTCGTCTACGGCTCCCCCAAGCTTAAGAAGACGTGGTTTGAGCGCTTCTTCTATGTTAAGCCGGTGGCGGGGGAGTGGGCGAGTGAGCACGTGGATGAGCCCACTGTGTGGAAGAAGGGTAGTACCCAGAAGTTTGAGTCTCGCGTTGGCGCGTATGACGGGCTTGATCATGAGTATCAAGCATGTTTAGATCAGAAGATGAATCTCTATACGCGCGGAGTTCGCGAGGCCATTTTGCAAGAGCTTTTCGCTGATGGTTAGTTGTTTTCCTTTCCCTTTGCATTCTGTCATATTTAACCGGTTTCTTACGATATTTTGGTGCAGGTGTCAATTTCGCCGACCTCGCGAGCATGATGTCGGTGGACAACGTTGCAAAGGCGCCCCGAGCCTCTCGTAAGGGGAAGAAGAAGCAGAAAGAGGGGGCGCAGAGTAGTAACGCGCCAGCTGCCAGCGCCAAGAGGAAGGACCGGGGGCAGCCCAGCAGTGCTCCCGCGAGTGGCGGGAAGAGGAAGGAGTCGGCGTCGGAGAGGGAGCCGGCTG